GAGAAGAACGGCTGCTGCTGCATCATCATCCTCATCATTTCTGCTACACTAGCAGGGCTAGGGGCCAGGACTCTCCTCTTCGGGTTTTTGGGGGATGTTGCAACCCACCCACAGTAGATGTGCACGGTGTGAGGTCTCGCAGCAAGCTATCAAATACGGCGCATTTTTCGGCTTTTAAAAAAAACGCTATGCGTTGCCAGGTGTTTCATCAGATTCTTGGTGTTACCTCCTTTGACAGTATCACGGTATCAGCTTAAAGCACTTGTTGCAGGCTGCTGAGTTTGCATCTTTTGCTGTGAAGTACAGCCAGACTTTTGACCGCTTCACCTAGGGCATTTTTAATCTGTAGCTCTGCTCTAAAAGAACGTACGTACCTGGCCCCGCCTACTATCCTCGGAAACGTAAAATGATTGGCTAGAATCTAAAGTGTATCACAGCTCAGGAAAAAAAAGCACCGAAATAAAGCACCGAAATGTGCGCTGCTTTTCCGTCTGGTTACTACCGTTTATGTCAGAACCGGTGCCATCCCTACTCAAGACTCTTTCAAAATAAACCAAGAAAAACTGAGAAAATAACAATAATCAAAGAATAAAACTAGAACACACAAAACACTGTGTCGTAGACCCAGTACCATGACAACATGGTACTGGGTTGCCTCCCTGGCTGCTGTGTCAGTGGGGATGGTGTTCGCTCTATGTTGTAGCGTCCTGATGACACCCAGTTTATGCTCCAGTGGATGATGAGATACTGATCCGTATGCGTAGGTTTACGGTACACGTCAGCTTTTAGATGTCCCCTATTAATGATGGAAATCTCACAGTCTAAGAAGGCTAACCTGCCACTTTCATATCCTCCCTACTGAATTTGATGTGTTGGTCCACCAAATGTGATCCGTAAATTTTGGTATGTCCTGAGATTTGATTTTCACCCTGGTGTCATCCGCATACCTGAACCAATGACTTGGTGGTGTTCCTGGGTAGGATAACTGTCACGGTACTGGGTCTGAGACCCAGTGTTTTGTGTATTTTTGTTTTATTTTGTTGATTATTGTATTTAACTCTGTTTCCTGTTTTATTCTGAAAGGGTATGGTGTGTTTTTGTCATTGTGTTTAGCTTCACTTCCCTGTGACATCATTATGTTTAATTTCAGTCAGTTGTTTCCCCATGTGTTCTCACTTCCCCTGATTACCTCCTGTGTATTTAAGTCCTCTGTTTTCTGTGCTTCATTGTCAGGTCGTCCGTTTTCCTACACCATAGTCTCGTCATAGCTTTTATAATTTGGTCACCATTTCATAGCCTGTCCTCAGTTTAGTAGTTACTGTTTTTACCTCAGCGTTCATTGAATAGAATGAATGCTTTATTGGCCATATGCAGGTTGCCCCGCAGAGGAATAGGACTACCTCCAACGCTTCCGTGACTGGGATGTAAGTGAAGAGAGATATAACGTCTCTCTTCACTGTACAGGTCCTGTTTATAAGATTGGGGAAACCTGCAGTCAGCTGAGACTGAAGAAAGGTTTCTCCCACTGAAAACGCTACGTCCAGATGAACAGAATCAACCTTTTGGGATTTACTTACCTGGATGATTAACCCTCTGGGCTCTATCCTGGCCATTTGTGGCCAGTTCACTTTTCTTTTTTCAACCATTTTTGTTCTCTTAATGGAATGAAACTTCCCAAAGGTGTGTATTTTTTTTCAGATTTTTTAATTTTCAACATCAGCTCCTTAATAATGTCAATAATATTCACTATACACCAAATTGTTCCTCTTGACTCTATCGTGACCATTTTGGCCAATTGAAACCCATTATAACCACCTTTTTTGATCCCTTGTTATTGGCAGTACTATATCATGCGATTTAGATAAAATTGCTTTCATTCTAAACTCAACACATGAAAGTTGTAGTGTTGTGGAAGTTTTCCATTTAATAAAGCCCACAGACGAGCAGTGAGCGTAGTAATAATCTGACTGATATTCAAAGGGTATAATATCTGAATTTGAATTATATTTTGGCTTTCATGACTAGGACTGGTGCTAATTTAAAAAATCAAGTCAATGAAAGTAGAAAAATGTTTTAATATATATTAATTTTATAGTATTTTGTAAACGCAAACAGGGGGTGGCCATTTTTGGCCACGAACAAGCTGAGAGGGAGTGTTTTTGTTTTTCTGTCACTGCAAAAAAAACAAAACAAAGATGCATAAAACTCATTGATACTTTTAATTATTGCTACACATCTAACCTCCGTCATGGTTAGAAAATAAATCAGTTTGCATTTGGGATTTTATGCTTTTATCTAGGGCTGGGTATCGTCACTGATTTCTAGAATCGATTCAATTCCGATTCACAAGGTCCCGAATCGATTCGATCCACGATTCGATTTAATTCAATTTAATTCGATTTGATTCGATTCTGGGAAATTTTGACAGTCAGAAATATTATAATTCAGATCAGCACATTTACATATTTTTGTATCTATTAAAAGGAAGCTGACACACGCAAGACTTTATCAAAGGTGTGAGCGTCACAGCAGATGCCTTTGTGTCAAAGTAGCTGAAGATAAAACACAGAAAAACATGAAGGTGATTTTCCTGTTCTGGGATTTTATAAAAATATTCTGCAGTACATCAAAAACGAAAGAAAACCATTAATCAACATATGAACATCACCTCTGAAGTTACAGCGGTTTTATTAGAGACACGGCTAAGCGTTTTGCATTTTGCTTAATTTTAAAAAGTTTAAATTTGTTCAATATTGAACGGCAGAAATCAGGTTTACTTTTCGGAAGTAAGTAAAAGGGAAAAAAAAACGTCGGCCGACAGCCTGTAAACAACGGTAGACTGGTGCGTAACAAGCAAGCGAATAGTGCAGAAAAGAGAGAGAGAGAGAGCTGTGCATGAAGTGTGATTTTTATCCTGAAAAGTCAGCAAAAGTCAGAGGGAATTCATGACGATGTTTATGTGAAGCGTGGTTTGGATCTTCTTTTGCTGCTGGTTCGGTCAATATTGTTTGGAGAGAGATAAAACTAACAGCCATATGATCAGCGCAAAAAGGCAAGGCAAGGCAAATTTATTTGTATAGCACAATTCAACAACAAGGTGATTCAAAGTGCTTTACAGAGACATTAGAAACAAAAACAAATAAAAAGCATGATTTAAAATTGATTAAAACAAACTAACTAACTAACTAAACACACACATTTCAAACCTGTTCGCGCGATCTGAACCCTTATCGTAAGGGGAGCTACCAGTCCTTCTGTGGACGAGCTACTTTCTATTTTAAATTCCCTGAATTTAAAATCTCTAGACCCAGTCTAGACCCAGTTGGGAGCAACCCAGAGCTCTAATCCCACACCTGTTCGCGCGATCTGAACCCTTATCGTAAGGGGAGCTACCAGTCCTTCTGTGGACGAGCTACTTTCTATTTTAAATTCCCTGAATTTAAAATACTCTCTAGACCCAGTCTAGACCCAGTTGGGGAGCTAAAAAAAAGGGCGTAAACACACAGCGCGGACCCGCGGATCAGAATCAGCGAGCTGTCGGCTTTCAGCCCCGACTGTCAGCTGAGAAAGGCGACATCTCACTGATTCTGATCCGTCGGCGCTGTGTGTTTACGTCTTTGTGCAGAAGCCGTGTACCTGCTCTCATTTACTGTCTTAGCTGTTTGGTGGTTGTTGAACTTTTGTGATCTTTCACCTGAGATTCTGGCATTTCGGGCAAAATAAATTAATATTAAAAAATCGATTCAGGATTTTAATGAATCGATTTTACGTTATCCAAGCCAGAATCGATTTTAATCGATAAATCGATTATAAAAACCCACCCCTACTTTTATCCCTATGTAAATCATTAAAATTATGTGATTTAACTGGTATTTAAAGGGTTAAAATTATGGTTTTGATTGAAATTTTGGTCTTGATGAACAGCACTGATGCTAATCTAAAAAAAACAAGTCAAAAAAAGTGGAACTTTTTCTTAATACATATGAATTTTATAGCATTTTATAAACGTAAACAAGGGGTGGCCACTTTTGGCCACGAACAAGCTGCGAGGGAGTTTTTATGTTTTTCTGTCACTGCACAAAAATAACAATGCATTATAAACAATGCTGATGTGAATCAATTACATGCCCCAGACTCTACTATTAATAATACAAGAAATTTCAGTAGCAATGCAATTATATAAAATTGCGAGATTTGAGGTTGTCTTCCAGCTAGTGCAGCGGACAAACAAACTGGTGTTTAAAGGGTTAAAAATTTAAAAAGTAATAATTATTTTATATTTATGAAAAGAACTAAAGTTACTTAAAAGCTTTATGCAGAAAAAAATGGCAAAAAACATAAAAAAAATAATAAAAAATTACAGACCTAATGATAGCAGCACAAACCAGCACAAATGTTTGACATCAATTTTGTTTGATTTGGGTAATGGGGGGGCTGCTTGACCTCAGATGACCTCTGTAAATTTTCTTTAATATCTTTAAAATGAAAGTGGCACAAACCACCACAAACTTTTGATACCACTTTTGTTGGATTTGAAGAAGGTGGGGGGGCCACCTTCACTCTCACTGGGCAAGATACTGAGTCCTGAATTTCCCCGATCCATGCATTGGACTGTCAGTATGAGAATTTTAGGTTAAAAGAGATCAGGAATATAACAAAGTGTTTGTGTGAATAAGGCTTGTAGTAACAAAAGTGCTTTGAGTGCTCAAATAGAGTAGAAAAGTGCTGCATAAGTCGCAGTTCATTTATTGGTTACTTGAAAATGACTAAACATAAATAACCTGTACACAATGGTTTCTTACTAAGTCTGCTTTAACTTGCAGCGTCATGCATTTTCCCAATTGAAAAGATTCACTCACTCATGCACGCACGCACGGAGACACAGACACACACACCTAAACAAACTAACAAGGTTGGAGAGAACATTTTAGTACTAGTGCACACTCTCTGTCACTACCATAAGTATTTGTGGGTGGTGAAGAACATTAACATAAAACTGATCAATGTCTGAATTCTGTCACTTTAATAAAATAATGTTATCCCAGATCTAAAAAGTGCTTCAGTCACAACCATGTTGTCCTGGGCTGGTGTTCTTCAGACTGTGGTTGGAGCTTATAAAAGCATCATATGGTACAGGATCTGCTGTCTTTCTTCACAACTTGAAGAAGTCAACAGCCCTTACTAGTACATGCCATACAAATGAAACTAAAATGGCCTCTGGAGGGTGTTGGGTGGTGAGCCTAAGCTGCTTGGACTGTGGAAATTTGAATCATAGGAGTTGGGCGTCAGTCCCACAATGCCCTCGGCTTGAGGCGTCTCTCCACATAGGAAATCATCCTCATCCTCCTTCGAGCCCTGAAACACACAGAATGAACAATCACAGTCAGGCATTTACATTTTAATGTTCTCATGAGTTTTAATATTTCCCCTTGCAGTTGGTTGCCGTCTGAGGGGGAACAGTATTGAGTTCTTATATAGTGCTTTTCTACTCTCCTGGAGTACTCAAAGCGCTCTATACAACATGCCACATTCACCCATTCACACAAGGACTTTCTTCTATGCTTTTAAGTGCTCCCTAACTACCATTCACACAGATTCTTACTGCAATGGGTTAATATGAAAGATATTTGGCATGCAGATTGGGGGGAGCCAGGGATCGAACCACCAACCATCTGATCAGTAGATGACCTGCTCTACCTCCTGAGCAGGTCCTCCAACTGCTAGCAACAGCAGCCTCCTGTAACTGTGCAGCCAGGTTTCTAGTAGTCGTTGGTACTACTCTTCACAGTGCAGCAGGCCCAACAGCTAACATGTTGGCTATTTGACAAATTTAGCTGCATTTATTATTAGTTTCTTTTTATTGTCTTCTCTCAGCTTTTAGGTCTTTTCCACACAAATATTAAAAGCCTGTATTTGTCATGTCTACATTTTCTATGCTGTTAAGAATTTATGCTTGTGCCAGTGCAAATACACCTTGCTGGCTATAGAGATATAATCTCAGTTTGTGTTATGATCGAAGCAGATAGTGCTCTCTAGTCAGAGGCATGCACTTTCACTGCACCTGCAAGTGAACAAAAGTTCCACCAGAGAATGGTACAAAAGAAAAGATGATGGTGTGGGTTTATGTTTGTGGATCTGACATATATAGTGTGGCTGAGGTGGTAGATTTGGTGGTCCATCGCAGGTTGCTCCAGTCTGTATGCCCGAGTATCCTTGGGCAATATACTAAACCCACGTTGCTCTAGATAGGTTCAACTCAGAGTGAATGTTAGATAAAAAGCCCTTAGATGTTGAAAAAAAAGTGCTTGTGTGTGAAATGTGTGTGAAAAAATTGTAAAAAGTGCTATAAGTGCTCAAGCAGAGTAGACAAAAGAAAAGCGCTATATAAGAACCATAAGTCCATTTATCATACTAGCATAAATGTAACTTGATAATCTCTAAACTATAAAAGAGAGAAAAGTTAACTATTCATTATTTTGCTTTTACATGTTAGGCAGTGGGAAGCGCAGTGGTGTGATGATTAGCACTGTTAGTGGGGTTAGGTTCATTGGTGCTTTAAAAGTTTATGAACCAGGTTATAATTTTATGCATGGTATGTGTGCCTCCACACCTGGGTGTGTAACTGTTCATTTTGTCTGTTGTTTCAGGTGGCAGCTGATCAGTGCTTGGAGACTGAATAGGGCTGAGTATAATTTGGGACCTGTCCAGACTGGCAGGTGACGCTTTTCCATCGTGCATCAGAAATTTCTGCTTTTGTGGCACCACCATTGTTTAAAACCTTTTCTCTTGTTTAGGTTAGGAAGACTGGTAAGATGCTTGGATTTTCTTTTGGATTCTCAGGTCGAGTATCAGATGCCACCTCTCTGGGACAACGCAAAGCAGGAGATGAAGCATCGCTGAAAATGTTTCCAGAGCAACTTCATTCTAAGCCAAAGACTAGAAAACATGGTGAAGCAAATCTTCCCTTTGGCTTCACCTGCACAGGTGCCGAGGTAGGTCTCCCTGCAGGATTAGTTTTTCCTGTGTCGGGAGCAGCGCTGGGCTGTTCAAATCACAGATAAACAGGATCCCACATTCTTGACTTTTAGTTCACAAACACTTGTTGTAATGACTAACTGCTCCTGACATGTTGGAGATGTTTGCTCTTTCTACAGTAAAAGTTACAGCGGGATACAAATAACATCAGGCTGATCCTGACACGATTTGTTCCCTCGGTTCAAATCACGGACAAACAGGATCCCACAGCTGTTTATGTTTTTAAACCTATTTTGCACAGAGAGGCATTTTTGAAAAATGTATTGATGCAATGTTGAACATTATTACTCAGGAAAAAAACAACTACAGTAAAATAATGACACTGTGACGCCTCTGCCTTTGTAAATGGAGGGACAGTACCTGCGCGTAAAACCTGCAGACAGTCAGATTAACAGTATTTTGTCTCTGTCATTCTGCAATTCATCCCATGTAAACAATAACGTGGCCACAGCGTGACGTGAAAAAGGCACATACCTTTGACGTTGTGTGACCAACTCTGTATTCCTCATCCACACGGAAACGTAAAAAAAGGAGTTTTTAAAAATCTCAGTTTTCGGTGATTCGAAACGCCGTTTACATGGACGAAACAGCTGCGTGTTCAAAAACACCCGTGTAGGTGCGGACGTAGCGTAAAAGAGTTAGTAGTTCATTTTCTTACTACCTGTAATTTATTGCAGATTATTGTATTTGCTTAATTGTTTACTAAATGTTTGAGGTGTGAAATAAACCACAATGGAGCAAAATATGGGCGTGTGTGGTTGGAGGAAGTGTGCATGTGCACGAACATTTTTCTTGTAAAACAAAGGTGGGCCCAGCAAAAAAAGTTTGGGAACCACTGCTCTAGCAGATCATTACATGAAGGAACCTTTTAAATAAATAAATTCAAAGCACACTGTGCGCTGTCAAACTTACGTGCTGCACAATAATGTTTAATATTTAGTATTTACTGTTATATTCCCATATATCATCGTGATGTTGTTTATTATGTTGCTCTTTTTTTTTCTTCTGCTTGTTTTCTCTTTTTTCTTTCTCAGCAGCTGATCCAGGTGATCGATATTTGTATTTTTTGTCTGTTAGTTTTGTTGGTTTTTGTTTTTTGCCCTTTATCCCCGTCCCTCTTCCCTGCTGTTTTTCTTTCCCTCTTTCTTTCTCCCTTTTCTTTCCCCCAGTCAAATCTGTCCCATGTTTAGCAAGTGAAAATAAAATGAACAATAAAAGGTGAATCAAATAGACCATTACGGCACGGCTGGTATGGTCAATGTGGTAAAGTAAATCCGTTGGGCATCTTTCTTCACCTTTAGACAACAATTCTGATGCAGAAGAGCCAAACGGGACAGGCAACAAAAAAAAAAAAAGAAGTTATAGGCCTGCTTATTTTTTTGTCCTGTCCAAATCCCCTACTTTTAAAAAACCCTCATAAATCTGTTACAATCATCATCTTACCTGTTGCCCTCTTTTGGTGGGAAATGGCTCTGTGTCTGATAGATCATCCCAAACCTGGTACAACGGTTCAATGAGCTGACCAGACCTGTAAATATACAGTTTATATTTACAATCCTGTTTGTGCAGACATAAGTGCTGGGAAAACTATCATGCTTCAGTTTTTTCCATATAATCAGGAATCAAATTTCCAATAAACATATTGGAAAGAGTAAAATAATCTAAGTAAAATGGTTTAACTGCTAAATCGTGGAAATAGTAGAAAGAGGACTAAACAGAATAATAGAAGTGCGAGATGCACTTAAACAATGAATGTATGGAAAATAATCAAAGGAGCTTACAAAGAAAAGCGTCTGGACTTCTTTAAGTTACTTGAAGACGTTTCACCTCTCATCCGAGAAGCTTCTTCAGTTCTAAGGTCAAATGGTGGAGAGTCCCAGATATAAACCTAGTGGGAGTTTCCCCCCACAGAGGGACAAAAGGACCCCTGATGATCCTCTAATCGCCTGAGCCAAGGTGGGAAACTGGGCGTGGGTCCCAATCAGCCAGAGTTTCGGGTGAGTTCATTGTGAAACCTGGCCCCACCTTATCATGCGAATTCCTGAGATCAGATGGCCCAGGATGTGAGTGGGCGTTAAGGCGTCTGGGAAGGGAACTCAAAACTGGATTATAGATGGCAGAGAGTTGGTGTCGTAAACCTCGCCTCTGTTCAAAGATGGTCGCTCACAGTGGACATAGATGCTTTTTTCACTCCTCTTTCAAACTATCTGTCCTCTCTGTCCAAAATGTGAACATTGGCATCCTCAAAGAGTGACCTTTGACCTTAAGATGCAGATGGATGCTGAGTCTTGTCCTGTGGAGGTGGCTCTTCTGTGTTGTGCCATGCGCTTGTGAAGTGGCTGTTTGGTCTCTCCAATGTAGAGGTCTGAGCATTCCTCGCTGCACTGTACAGCATACACCACATTGTTAAGTCTGTGTTTTGGAGTTTTGTCTTTCGGGTGAACCAGTTTGTGTCTGAGCGTGTTGCTGGGTCTGAAATGCACCTGGATGTCATGCTTGGAGAAAACTCTCCTGAGTTTCTCTGATACACCGGCTACATAGGGGATGACAATGTTGTTGCGTCTGTCCTTATCCTCCCTCGCTGGTGTCTGATCTTCTTTTCTGTGCCTCTTTGCTGACTTTAAGAATGCCCATTTAAGATAGCCGCACGTTTTGAGTGCTTCCTTTACATGTGTGTGTTCCTTCTTTTTCCTTCAGGCTTAGAGGGAACATGTTCTGCCCGGTGGTGTAGGGTCCTGATTACTCCAAGTTTGTGTTCCAAAGGGTGATGGGAGTCAAAGAGGAGGTACTGGTCCGTGTGTGTGGGCTTCCGGTAAACTTCGATGTTGAGTTTGCCGTTCTCTTCAATGTGCACAGCACAGTACAGGAAAGGCAAACAGTCGTCCTTTGTGTCTTCCCTGATGAACTTTCTGTTTTTATCCACAGCGTTAATGTGCGCAGTGAAGGATTCCACTTCTTGTGTCTTGATTTTGACCCAGGTGTCGTCCACATATCTGTACCAGTGGCTGGGTACTCTTCCTTTGAAGAGGCTCTTGGCTCTTTCAAAGGAAGAGTACCCAGCCACGATGACCTGGATGACTGAGAACCTTCACAGACGTATGGAAAATAATGGAAACGTAGCAGAGCTTCCCGTTCGTTTCTTTTAATGTGAGAAAAGTTACATTTTCCCCATGTCTCCAGCTTCTGCTGGAGCTGAAGTCACATGCTTCAAGTGGCTGATTTAGTACAAAACGTACAAAAAGTGTACGTTTTGTACTTTCAAGCAAATATGATTTTAGCTGTTTGTTTACTCTCGTACTAATTTTCTTTTCTCATCATGGTGGAAGTGGGAGATAAACTCCCCCATGGGTGTTCCCCAGCACCAGTGTCATAGTGAAGGATGGATAGCACCATCTTCATGGGTGCACATTAACTCGACCCCTCCACTCCAGAGACTTTGGTATCAGTATTGGTGATGGGGAACAAAGGGAGCAATCGGAGTATGAAGAATGTCGCTTAAGCCTAGCTGCTGAGTGCGTAAACCAAAATAAATGGAAATAAATCAAACAATGAGTGTACCTCTTGAGCAGGTAGGGGTCGAAGGGGAAAAAACTGTCGAGTGGGTTGGTGTTGGTGGTCACACAGTCTCCTCCTGCAGAGCTGCGGACCACTGGCAGCACACACCGGTTGTTCCTCTCTATGATGGTGTAGCAGAACACCACTTGGTACTTCCTGCAACAAAAACAACTGCTGGTAGGAATGACGAGGAGGAAAAATACCAGCATTTTATAACTGATGCAAAGACTTTCTTCTAGTCTACACACTAGTGCGTGCACTGTGATCTACTGACAATGCTGTACACTTTAGCGTTTTTACATCAGTTAGAAAACAAATGTAGAGCTTTTACTTGAAGTCGACCAGAGGCCCCCTCAATATTAGCATGTCTAATAATCATTTAGTTCTTGAAAAGTTCCTGGAAAATAATCTAGAGGGTTCAGGATTACAGGAAGGTCAATGGTATTTGGGGGCATGTGCACCTTGTGATGGCAGCAAACATGTTGGTGATTGAAGGTAGGCAGACTCTGAGAGGATTCAGCTGACACATCACCACCTGCTCCAGGTTCAGACTCTGCAGGTATTCCAGACCTGACGTACACACACCCAGTGAGGAGGAGTCAGAACATATTCGACAAGGTGTGACCAAAAGGTCCGGAGAGCATCAAAAACAAAAACCATACCTGATTTAAAAACAGTTGATCAAGCTCATGTGTTCTAGTCAGTCTAAATGAATTCCAGCATGTCTGCCATTTTCCCTAAAATCCTCATTCTGACAGCTTACACTGTGCGCTATTCGTTATCATGGATATCTCAAACTGACTGGAATTTTGCATAAAGTATCGTTTCTGGTGATGACCAAGCAGTTTTCAAGTTAAGAGGCTTAAAGTTAGTCAACGCCAAGTTCTAAGAAACATCCTGAGGCATCTGAGGGAGAAGAGTCACAGGAAATGTCCTAACGGGCGATCGTGGCTCAAAGAGTTGGCAGTTCGTATTGTAACCGGAAGGTTGCCGGTTCGAGCCCCGGCTCGGACAGTTTCGGTCGTTGTGTCCTTGGGCAAGACACTTCACCTGCCGCCTACTGGTGTTGGCCAGAGGGGCCGATGGTGCGATATGGCAGCCTCGCTTCTGTCAGTCTGCCCCAGGGCAGCTGTGGCTACAACTGTAGCTGCCTCCACCAGTGTGTGAATGAATAGTGGCATTGTAAAGCGCTTTGAGGGCCCCGAAAAGCGCTATATAAATCCAATCCATTATTATTATTATTAAACCATGCTGTGTGCCATTGTGTCATGGTGCGTCAGCACAGTGCTTTGAAAACAATCTTTGTTCCCCATCTGGTGGCCTCAACAGATCTGACAGCCATCTACTTCATGAAAATTAAAAAGGATCACTGTTGTGGCACGCAGGAAGAGAGAAAGCACCCATCCCAGAAATGAAGGGATTTCTACAGAGTGAACTCAAATAATTGCCTTGCTGAAAGCCATTAAAATACATAATGAGACATCTTTAATGTGACACTAGAGACAGTTAAATCAGGTAATGATTCAGACCCATTGCTGAAACCTGTGCTTACATCTAACTGATTTTAGTAAATTAAACCAAGCAGCCTGAGGTAATTTTTGCTCCCATGCTATTTTATTGTTGTTGTTTTTTTTACCTGTAATTAAAACAAATAAACTGATATTAGCTCAAAGTTTTCTATTCTACCTTTCTTCATGTTGGCCTCTAGCAATGCTCTGTGTCTGAAGATGATCGTGTAGAAGACAGCCTGGCAGGAAGTGTAGAAGGGCCCGTGCAAGCTGACGTCACAGCAGACTTGTTTCCCACAGCTGTCCTGGCTGTAGATGTACTGATGGATCCAGGAGCTCAGTAAATCAAGACAGGCCCGCACAGTGCTATAGGAATCATCATTGACACAGAATGAGAGAAGAACCCGTTAAAAACCTGCACCTGCTGCATTTGTGCTGTCTTAAGCAGGTGTCGCATAAACTCACCTCAATGGGATGAACTTGGCTCGGGCCAGGAAACTTCCCAGGTATCCAGCAGCAGCCTGGCGAAGGACAGCAGGCAGAGACGGGTTCTGCAGGATCTTCCACAGGTGATCCAAGAAGGCCTCTGCCAGGGCCTGTGACATATATCACAGGAAACACATAATATACACAACTCCAGAAGCTCTTAGTCTCAAAGTAATGAATGATAAACGTCAGTACGAATAAACCAGCTAAATAAATACATGCATTATAAATCATATATTCTGAATGTTGAGGACAAGGATGATTTAGAAAAAGCCAGTCTACCCATGAACATGAGTAAATATAATATGCGTAGCAATGTCAGTGGCAGCTGAGATATAAGAGACAGGGCACTCTGAAAGCCTGAATCTATGGAAGAGCTCTACAACAGCAGTAGGAGACACACTGGGCAGCACTCCTGTCAGATCCAGTCTCACCAAGACTGGACGATAGAAGCAAACTGTAGTCTGGTCTGATGGATCCATCCTGTATCAGTCAGGCTAATGGTGTGTCATGTTGTGGGGCGTTTTCCTGACTATAGTCAGGGTTGGATCAGGTGACCATCCCTGCTGCGATAGGCTGCTGGGGCCTTCCTATGATGTACTGAGCGTTTCTTCTTCACTCTCTATTAGGGCTGCGTATCATCACTCATTTCTATAATTGATTCAATTCGATTCCATTTGGACTCAGAGAGAAATATTATAATTCTGATCATTATCCATATCAGATACATATTTTTATATCTATGTATAAAAACAAAGTTGGCACTTGTGAGACCTCATCACAGCAGAGGCCTTTGTGTCAAAGTAAGTGAGCATAAAACAGAAAAACATGAAGCAGATTTTCCTGGCCCGACTTTTTACAGCAGCCTTAAAAATATTCTGCAGTAGAACAAAAACTGAAGAAAACCACGAATCAGCATCTGAACATGACCTGATGCTGCTGAAGTCACAGAGGTTTGATTAGAGACAGAGCTGAGAGTTTTGTAAAAGTTGACATTTCTTCAGTATTGACAGCAGAAATGAGGCTTTCTCGTCCAGAGTCGTTTTTGAAGTTTTGCTGTACAAATTAGAGATGGACCGATCCGATATTACGTATCGGTATCGGTCCGATACTGACCTAAATTACTGGATCGGATATCGGAGAAAAATAAAAAATGTAATCCGATCCATTAAATATCACGAAAGCACCTCACAAACTTGCAACACGCCGTAACTCACCTCAGAACGACGTTAGCACGTCGGAGCAGTATGCATCACGTGATAGAGCGGCTGTGGCATGCGGGACCTGTCGGTGGTCTGGATAGCATGTGGAGCGTCGCTAGCAACCTGGCATTTCATCTCCGACAAAGTTATCCCCGAGAGAAGTAAAGCAAGTGTGTAAGTCCATCTCTGAATGTTTGTAAAGCATTCCTGCGTTAAGCTTAACAAGCGACTGCCTCTTCTTGCTGCTACTTCAATCATGAAACTGCTTAATGATCAGCTGATCGGCTTTTCTGTCGCGAGTCCGTGTCTCTGGTTTGTTTTTGGCCCACTTTGCACCAGAAAGAGGAAACCAGCGGCTGAACAACAGCAGCACGTTTAAGCTTGATAAGCTGTTGTTACAATTTATTTAATATTACTTTCTACTCCAGGATCTTTTTCTACGTAGCTGACGCTGGTAACTGTGCAGGGGCGGATCTAGCAAAGTTTAGCCAGGGGGGCTGATAGGGCATGAACAGGGAGAAGGGGGCACAAAGACATACTTTTCTTTCTTATTCTCATTTAAAATGTCGAGCTTTTAATAAATAATTATCCGAATCTTACACCCAAAGTTTTAATTTGATGTAAAATGAATAGAAGTCAATTACTGTATATAGTAACTATTAAGTCTAATATATATACCCTAGTAAGCTATAGTACTTTTTCCTTTGGGAAGGTACCATCTGTGCAGTCTGCAATTTTGTTGAAGAAAGATGTTGAATCTATTTAATATTTCTTGAAAAAGAATTGATTTCTGTGTATTTTTTTCACACTGCATCAAATTAAGGTTGATTACGTCGATTAAGCATCATGAGGTGGAGCGTGAGGGGTGGTTCCCTATTTTTATTTATTTATTTTTGTTGTTGCTGGGAGTTGGAACCCTATTAGTTAGGTTGCTTAATATTTACGCTAAGTACTCTTTAAAATACCAGAATAGGGAGGATGGTGTAGGTTTAAGTTTATTAGATTGATCAGTATTGCTGAACTATAAATATTTTTTTTTGCATACAGGTATAACAGAATAGCTTTAGTGTAGTTGTTGTTTTAAACTTGAGTATGAACTTATACAAAATGCAGCAAGATATTTAAAAAACCGTTTTATTGATTAAAAAACACTATATCGGATTCATATCGGTATCGGCAGATATCCAAATTTATGATATCGGTATCGGTATCGGACATAAAAAAGTGGTATCGTGCCATCTCTAGTACAAATAATGCAGAAAACAGAGACTGGAAGCTGTTCCTGAAGTACACAGAGAGACAGAGCTGCGCAGGAAGTGAGATCTTATTGTGGTGGAAGCTAAACAGCCAAAGTCCGAGTGAATTAATGACGATGTTGATCAAACATGTAGTTTGATCTTCTTTTGCTGCTGGTTCAGTGAATTTTGGTCCGAGTGATGAAACCTGCAGCATCAGAGTCTGTGAGGTGTCGGCGTTCAGCAGCGACGTGTCTGCACACGTGCTGTCGGGGCTCCATCCACGCTCCGTGTTTACATCTTTGTGCACAATCCGTCTTCCTGCTCTCATTTACTGCTTTAGCTGTTTGGTGGCGGTGAAATAGTTTCGTGAGCTTTAACCCGAGTTTCTGGCAAAATACATTTATATTTAAAAATGGATTTAGGATTGAATGAATCGATGTGGCTTTATTCAAGCTAAACTCGATTTGAAACGGAAAATCAATTTTTTTAAACCCTCCCAGTAGAGCTGGGCGATAGAACGATAACGATATGTATCGCGAAATAACTTTTTCTCGATAGAAAAATTAAACTATCGCGATAGGCCTCACCGCTCTTGTCCTCTTAAAAAAAAAAAAAAAAAAAAAAAGAACAGCCAATCCAAATTAAGTAGTGCAGAGCCGAACCAATCACAGCCGCAGCGTCACGTCACGTGACTTGTTACGTACAGCGCAAGTGCCAAGCCGCACATGTGTATTTGTTTGGGAAGCAGCCAGCGGTAATGGAGGAAGTGAGTGCGCTGACTAGAGAAAAATCAACGAGAGCGTGACCGAAGAGAAAACAGATGATGGTTCCAACGCCGGAGAGATTGTTGAACAGAAGAGCCATAGAAGTCCCGTAGTGTGAAGGTATTTCGGCTATTTCAAGTCTGACAAAAACAGAGTAGCACGCACTGTAAATGTGCGGAAAGCAAGTCTGGAAATACAATAAAGCGGTGCAGCTCAGTCTCTGACTGGAAGCGCTGATTCGTCATTCGGCTTTTGTCAGACTAAAGTAACTGTTAAAACTGTTTGAAAAGCTCAGCTATACAACAAGGAGGGATTGAGAATTTCCTTTTAGTTCTCAGTTTATTCGATGTTGACAAAAGTTAGTCAGTTTTGTCTGTTCTTCTGTAAACAAACTAAGATTTATTTTAGAATTAATATTTTGTTTCTAAGTGGAATTGACAGTTTAGTCTGTTTCGTTTGTTCTATTTTGAAACTTAAACGCTTTAGCGGCTGCCTTTTGTGTAGTTTGCAATATTTGCCTTTATTTATCTGAAAAAGTCTCATGTTCCTTAAGTACATCTACCCTGTTGAACTTATTATGGGAAATAAATATTTAAATAAAACAAGCTGCTGATTATTTCACATTTTACTTGTGAGCAACGGCACATTTAAATCTTACAAATATAGTTATTTGGCTTATATCGTGATAGATATCGTTATCGCCTGAAATGAAAAAAACATATCGTGATATGAAAAATCTTATATCGCCCAGCTCTACCTCCCAGTGAGAAAGGTGACAAGAAACACCCAGTGCATCATGGGAATCCCCGGCAGCATACGTCTATTGCAGCATAACTAAGGGAGGATCCAGGGTCACCTGGTCCAGCCCTAACTATATGCTTTAGCAAAAAGGAAAGTTTGAAGCCTGATCTTGAAAGTAGAGATAGTGTCTGTCTCCTGATTCCACAGGCACCCACACCAGCTGTACTTACCATACTGTGCCATTTGTGAGGTAAAGCAGCCCTTACAGATGCAGAAAGTGGTGTTTACATCAGATAAAGCTATCCTACTTCTAGGCTGGAATATTACAATTTCTAATTACCAGGCTGCTCCAAATGCTCCTTTAAAAGCCTTGAGTTGATCCAGAATGCTACAGTAAGAGGACTGACACAATTAATATTATTATTATTATTATTTTTCTCATATATGGCTTCTCTTCTCCAGAATTGAATTTAAAATCATTCTCAAATTATCTATTTTATCTTTATCTAAGATGTAAGAGTTTGGAAACTTTCCTGTGCCTGTACATCTCGTCGCTGAAACCCAGACTGCCAGTAAAATGCAAAAACCAAAGTTAACTGGTCCCAGTATATGTGGGGAGTACTGACCGGTTTGAAGCTGCAGAGGTAAAAGAGAGTGTACTGCACATGACAAGAAGCATGTGTTGGCAGAATGAGCTTGTCAAATACAGTCAACAAATCTCTGTACAGCTCCTTTGTCCTTTCCGCATGAAAAGACCCTGAAACACGAGACAATACAATACATAAAAATATTAACGTACAGCTTAGTATAAATATTCTCCATCTTCCTACATTACAAAAGTTTAGAAACTGAAGGATTCAGTATCAGTCGGGCCTGGAAAAGATGGTCTAATCTTAAGAAGTCAGGGTTAAACAATGGTTAGTATTTGGACTAAAATCAATCAATAAAGATGTGATTGAATCAGGCTTTGAGCTTCAATTCAATTACTTAAAGTAGTGCATGAATGCATTAGGAGCCATTTTTATTTAAAAAAATAAAACCCTTTTCAAAGGTTGCTTGATTTAAATGCACTTTAGTAGTATATAAGACAAAACGACAAAAATATAGTCACTGTCCAAATATTTATGGATTTACATGTATAAAAGCTTTTTTTCTGCATCTACCATCAACGTAGCAGACATCCTTGATGTAAGCCATAAGCACGGCCATGAGAGTATCTAGTCTTTCTGCCACTGGATGGGCCATCACAGTCGTCCTGGTGGGCTCATCTGCTGACACGTCTTCATCCTAACAGAAACCCGGATACACACAGAGGTTATCAGGATTAAAAGAAAGAATAAAGAGAACAAATTCAAATTTGGGTCCAGGACGCTGCCCATGTTTCCTTATTTAGATTTTATGTCTAGGAATAGTTTTATTCAGGCTGTCCACTTAGATGTTTCAGTTATAGTCCAACACACCCAGGTCTCATGTTCAGATGACTTCATGTGGTGCCTTACACATGCAGTTTCAGTGGCGAGGTGTTGGGTTCAACCACAGACTTAAAGACTGAATGAATTACTGGGTCTTTAACGTATAAAGGAGGACAGTATGTGAGCAAAGGAAGTGTGACACACCTCTCTGTGCTCATGAAACACCAGGAATGTTAGATCAAGAAATGTTATTAAATGGAAAATGTAGATCATACCACGCTCTCCAGTTCAGGGTCACCTGAAAGACCAGCCAAGGTGTGGAACAATCATCTGCTCCAGAGCAGTATGAAGGTTCTGACACCATCTTGGTTTCTGCCTCACAGACACCACTGACTCAGCCTTACTGCTGCCACCTGGCTGAACCTCATCGGCTCCCAAGACTGCATTAAGTCATGGTGGTTGGTATTGGTACTTCTATGGTCTGACGTGTGGCCGTACCTTGTGCTCTGCTGGTGTCTGTGTGACAGATATTGCTCCAACTAATCTGCAGCTGTTGAAAACCACAAGGCCTTTGCAATCGTTGTCCATACTAATGACTTCTGTCAGCCTGTGAACTTCAAACGAGACTTTGTGCACCTTGTGGACAGCCTATGGGCCACTGGAAAGCAGCGTATCATCTCCGGTCCACTGCAGTGAAGTTTAGCCATCTCCATCATCTGCATATTTGGCTTTATGAGTTACTGCAGGAACAGAGATCTTCCCTTCGTCATCTTTCCTCAACTGCCCTGAACTTTTTAAACAAGATCACCTGCACACTAAACCACTGCACTGACCTAACCCTACACCCACTCACCCACTACAGCCTGACACTTGCACCACTAGTACACCCAGACTCAACCTTTTAAAAGAACAGCAGCCTGACTTTTTGTGCAGAGTCGTTATGTTTTACGCAGAAAGTACATTTATTGACATTTTCTATATTGGTGTTTTTTTCCCTTAAAGCCTGAAAACTTGGTTTTAAAAACTGTCGCTGATTTAACAGCACAACAATCAACAACATGTCACCTCCTGCACATCAGATTTCACATGTGCCAAAAATGTCCAATAACCTAACCCAACTACAGTTTCATTTGAGCTCTCATACATGCTGGCCGAAAACGTTGACTTCTTAAGTTATTTAATTTATTCACTGTCATGACAATTATTCATATGCTTTGGAATAAGTCATTTTTATTTTATCTGTGGAAAAACATTACTATCATCAAACCCTGCTGGCTCTTACCATGTCAAAAAGACACTCCTCAGTCTGCTCCTCTGCTTTCTGGGTCTGCACTCGGTTTTCTTCAGCCTCCTCAATATGTGTGCGGGATGCGTTCACCTAAAATGTACCGCACACATGTGCACCTTTGACATATCTCACCAGTTTCCAGAAGAAAGCAGCAGGTGATGTGTGAACTGATGCTACTTGTTCAGAAAAAAATGAATTGATCAATTTTATGTCTGAACATGTCCTTCTGCAACAGATAAGTCAGATATGACTAATTTATTTGCATGCATACGTTTCTACATATTTTGGTATTGACAGGCCTCTAAGAGACTATACAACAAGGTCCATAAGTTTTTGAAAGATGATACTTTTGTGTAATTTTGTCTCTCTAAAGTCCCATGTGTTCCATAACCGCATTGTTCCTCCTGGATCCAAGATTCGACTAACTGATACTTTCCTCTCCAGTATCCTGGCAAGTGTTGATCCGGAGGTACTGTCGGTGATTCCACATTAATCAAGTCCACTTGTGACTCGGTGGAATCACAGAGTACACATATATCAAATTCAGGGAGAGAGAGTTTCAGAGTCTGGGGGCTACTGTTGCAAAAGCTCTGTCTCTTTTAGTTTAGGTACAATAAGTAGGCCCTGATCACAAGGCCTCAGGAACCTGCTGGAGATGCATAGCTATGAAAGTTCACTGATGTAAGCTGATGCTTCTCCATGAAGAGCTCTAAAAGTCAGAACCACAATCTTGAAATGGACTCTGAATTCAAAAGGTAACCAGTGATGCGGTGAGCAGGAAGTTATGTGACAGAAATGTCTCAAGGAAGACCAAAATTATTGCTCCAGGCTCTCAGTGAATTACTCCCATACCCACATTTTTGCTTCAGCCTTTCCCAGAGACTTGGCCTGTCAGCTACCTCCACATTCCACGGGCTAACAAGTTCAACAGGACTCGGCGGTAGATCTGATGTTAATAACACAATTATTGACTTGTGACCTAGGTTGTCTTGTTACTAAGTGCATGCTCATGCTGGTGATTTCTATGGACATAAACTGCAGGTCTCAGTCACACTGCCAAACAGCACCCGAGACTCGAAAAAGACATGAAATGGTTATTTGGCACATAAGCAGAGAAAACAGTCCAGACTCCACTGTGGTGAAACCCAATGGACAGGCACCAAATCAGTGGGATATGAGCGCTGTCTCTTATCTTTGAGCTGGAGAAGTGAAGAGGGCAGGACCAGAAACTTCTCTGAACTTCCACGCGCTGAAGCAACTACCAATAAGAGTGCAGGACAGTGCTGAGTGAGATACAGCCATTAAAGGATTATCTATGAAACTGGAGCCTCAAAATGATGCGTGATGACTGAATCACTCCCTGTATGGATGCAGCTTCTTTTGTTAAACCTCTTGAATGAAAGCTCTGCACTACAGCGATAACCAGAGACAAAATCAGACAAACTGTATCACTATCCAAAACTTAATAAACCTACCTGAGCACCTACCACACAACTCATGTTGAGTTACTACTGTTACGTTCAAATTAAACTACAAATAGCAGAATTTGGAGGTGCACCACTCACATCCAGCTTCAGCAGTTTTCCAATGATCAGCTCAAGTAGGTCTCGTCGAATGGAGGGGACGTACACTGTTATCCTCAGGAGGTTATGGACGTAACACTCCTGTAAAGCATCCATCAGTTAACAGAGACGTACACTTTGAAAAAGAATCAAAAGCTTTTTTGATAAAACTGATGACGTCCCATTTTGTACAGTCTTTTTAATCTCCTCAATGTCTAATCTACAAAAAGTTACATTAAAAAGCCTTTGATAGGACCCAAATTAAACAAACAAACACACACAAAAATATTCAGAGGTACAAAAAGACGTCTCAAAGGATCAATAAAAACACATTAAGCTGAAAGAGCTGTTATTAAGACTAGAGATCCCAGTCTGTTATGAACTACAATAAATACAACTTTAGAGGTTATTAGCAAGAGTTCTAAAACAAAATAATAATGAAACAAAAAAGATGAAATTATGTAAGGACATTTAATTAGGTGAAATGAAAAGGGAAATAGCACCTCCTGGAAGGAAGAAGTTTTAACAATGATCTACAAAGAAGACAGAGTGGACTCTTTAAATTATAGACCACAGCCTATTAATAGTATGGGGACGTCAGGGTCTTGCCTGTATCTTACCAGTGTTCTTGAGGATTTCTGTATGAAGGGAAAGTTTTCTTGCAAAATGGGCATCAGAAAGCGACTTGTGCTAAAAGAAGAGGAAAAATCTTTACATTACAAAAACATTTAAAAAATGTAACACGAGGGGTGAAAATCACAGTGAAACCACAATGCAGGCTGACTGACATCAAATAAAACAAAGTGTATACAAAGTATCCATTTATGCAACAACATTAGTTACAAGATAACTTTTTTTACAGTAACAAGCTAGTGGCTACTTGTTTGTATTAGTAGGTAAATTAATGTCAAATAAGAAGAAGAAAGCAAGTTATACTATAATAAAGCCTGCTGAGACAAAAGGGAAGAAATACACTTGCAGCAATTACAAGATAAGAATACCACCTTAAAGGGAAAAGATAAGCTAGTTAAATCAAATCCGTGGGCAGATTTGGAAATGGGATTTTGCCAGATTTAAAGCTAGCTGGATATCTATATCATACTTGCTCATGTTATGACTACCAAAAACATACCTAGCATGTGAACATGTGGAATATACTGCAGTTTATTAAAGGTCAGTACCACCAACCCCGTGGTTTTGTGAGGTTTTGTGAAGTTACAGCACTAGAGACATTACAACCTTTACACACAAAGGGGTTGAAAGAATATGGAGGACCAGGAGTGCCAAAAGGAATTGATTAAATACACCATTAAATAATTAATTAAATCTTTCATTAATTCATTAAAATTGGAATTAATTAAATAAATGTTTAAATAATTCAATAAATGCCCATTCATTTCATTTAAAACATTTAATAAATTATGTGTTTATTTATTTATTCCAAATTGTATTTAATTCATGACACATTTAATTATTTCATTAATGACAAATGTAATTAATTATTTAATGATTTTTTTGGCACTCCTGGCCCTGCGGCTGTGTTCTTGAATCAATGTTATCTGTCAGCCTCACCCAGCAAACCCGGGGGCGGGGTTAATGCTGCCGCTGCAGCTTGTCTAACATCTGATTGGTTACTGTGCAAAGTTAATCAAGACAGGTCGATCCTAGATAATCAATCACTATGAACTGGTGGTAGTGTGGGGAAGCAGGTATCCCAGAATGCATTTCAAAATGTAGTGGCGTAATCTTCACATCTCTGGTCAGGTTGTCAACATAGAACATGATGTTTCCGGCAACGTTCCAGCTGACTGTTAGCAGAGCGTACTGTGAACAGAGTGTACCGAGCTCACAGCCCCGGTGTTCCAAGTTAACTTTAGTTAAAAAGTCCGACAACTTTTTTGTAATGAAAAACGTAAACACTCATATCGCCAGTAAGTTACAAAAGTGCCACATGGAAATGTGTTGATGATGAAAACAGCCCGTCTGCCTCCAGTCTTTGTGTTTCCCTGATGGCTATCAGTAATATAAAGTCACAGACACAACTATATTTAACTGTCTCATGTTGGCCAAGAACAATTTTACATATATGATCTTAGAACAGGACACAGACACTCTAATTACTGACCTCATGTCAAATGTGTACGTAGACCGAGTCTGTGTTTTATATGAAATCTTTGCTCTTAACCTTTAAACAGCATCGAGTGTGCAGCTGAGACAACACAAACTCAAACAGCAGGTTTGATCATTGCGATTATAAATCAGCTGGAAGCGCCACGTTTTCACTCAGTCTTTTATTTACAGCATGTTTGAAGTGTTTGAAGAATGATGTGGGGAACATGTTTTAAATGCTGTACTAAAATCACTGCGCAGACAGTGCGTGGCATTGTCGATTGCCATGGAATTCGATTCGTAGATGACCGTTAGATTCGTTTGATGCTGCCGACACTTTCATGTGCCCGTGAAGCTGAGTTAACTCAGAGAGCTGATAACCAGCTTCATGTGACCGTTTATCCTGCTCCCAGTGTTAGGGTCAGTGATTCCAGATAACCGAAAGATATCCTGGATATGCTGACCTCACTCCGTGATGGCGGCAGCTGGACTGCCCGTTTAGCCTCATGATTAATATTCACAATTAAAATATTAGTCAAACATTTTGAAATCTGTGTCTCACAAGCTTTGTACACGTAAACCTAACAGTTACTACATGACAGAAACCAGTGATGTCTCTTTCTATAAAGATTACTGATCACTGATTATTTATTTGCTCTCTTCTCCTTAAACATGTTTTTAATGTTAGTTATGATTCAGAATGGGCGACTGAAACAAGTATGCTTAATGTTATTAAATAATTAATTAAATGTGTCAATAATTAAGCTGGGATAGGCTTAATTATTGATAGGATAGGCTGGGATAGGCTCCAGCGCCCCACCGCGACCCTGAAAAGGATAAGCGGAAGCGAATGGATGGATGGATGGAATAATTAAGTACAATTTGAAATAAATAAATAATTTATTAAATGCTTCTAAATGAAATCAATGTGCATTTAATTAAGTAATTAAATATTTATTTAATTAATTCCAATGTTAATGAATTATTTAATGGTGCCTTTAAATAATTTATTTTGTCACTCGGGGTCCTCCACAGAGAAGTCCAGTGATGAATCAAAGCTCAAGTGTACAAATTCAGAGTTTAAAGGCCAAAAACAGCAGCCAGCAGAATAACAGGTGACACAGACTTACGAGGGCACGTATCTGATGATGAGCTGCAGCGCCTGGTGACAGTGATCGAAGTTTCTGGGTAGATCTTAAAAAAAAAAAAGCCATACAAGCTCTTAGTGAACATAACGATGCTTTACAAAGCACACCTGCATCTCGCTTCTTTGTGAACCACTGCAAGGTTAAGATGTCTGAAACCACCACTTCATAGGAGAGGAGAAAAAACTTACTCTCATCTTCATCATCTGAATCGGAGATATCCACTCCTCCTTCACAGATGGTCACTCTCTCTGAAAAAACACACAAGTGTTTCTCCATCATGCAACAGAGATGACAACAAGAAAGACAACAATACTGTACAGGGTTGTCAAAAACTGACTATCAGATCCTAAAAGTGACTATCAGATCAGATACTCATTGGTTACAGTACAGACACTGCCTTTGCCTCATCCAGCTGTCACACAGCTGCCCGTCTGCACACAACCCCTCCCCTCATTACACCTGAACACGGAGGAGGAGTTGACATGCAGAATTTCAAGGGTTAGTAAAGTTCCCATTTCCACAACACTGAAGTATTAAATATGTTCTTATGTTTCAGGTACATGGGCCATGCTTAGGCTGCTGCCCCTGCGACCCGGCCTCGGATAAAGCGGATGAAGATGGATGGATGGATGAAGTATTAAACAGTTATCATAAAAGTTAACCTGGCCGGCACACACATTAGCATTAATCATTTAACCCTTTAAGTCATCTCTTCAGTTACCATTAAGTTAGTGGCGATCGCTAAAAATATAACACTAACATTAATTTAGGAGCTAAGCAGTGAAAGTTATCAGTCCTGCTCCTCATAAACTTGCAATGTTTGGTGTTAATTTAAAAGGATAACACAATTATATGTGACCGGTGTTCTTTTTCAGACTGAAGCTGGGAAAGGTCTATCATCGACTACACAGAAATGTGCAAACATGGAGCCGAGTCAGCAGAAGCACAGCACTACCTGAAAATATTCTTGACTTTTGTTTGTTCTCCACATCTAACAGAATTTGTGACTATTTATCACATATATACATCTGACAGCATGTATTTCCTTTCCATCCTGTCGACCATCACAAGCCTACTACTGTAACACGTTTATGAATCATGATTAATTCAATACCATCAGAGTAACATACTGGGGGTGAAGTGGGAGACCACCATGTTAAGGCAGGCACACAAGTAGACAGTCTGTGCTGACACCAGGTTACCCAGAAAGGCCAGGTACTCGTCCACCACAGCCTGGCTCCGGCCCAGCCAAGGAAGCCTCTATAAAACACACACACACACACACACACGCACACACACACACACACACACACACACACAGTGTGTTTATATGCTGAAACAATCAGCTTTTTGGACGTCTGCTGATTCACACCACATGAAGGGTGGACTGAAGGGTTTAAAATGTGCACCAAAATGACAGAATAGATGACACATTACCAGCAGCATATCATACTGACAAAAGGCTTGTAAAGGTTTGTCCATGTTAAATCAACCACGGCTTTTCCTGGGAATTTTTTTTTCATTTTATATTTGACTCTAATATTGGTCCTGACTCAAACTTGAATGCTGGTGGGGGAACCAGTGATCAAGGGTTATTGTCTGGCTACTACAGGAGCAGAAGGCTAAATGGGTGTGGATTCAACTAAGAACAACGGGTCAGCGTTCTGGATGTGTTGTTCTCTCTAAGCTCTGATCACAATAATACTTTCCCTGTTGACTGTAGAGGCAACTGCTGTTGTGATTTGATGCAATATAAAGAAAATTGAATTTCATATTGGAATGAGGTCGTAACAAATTTGGTGAAGGCATACATGTTCCATATCTTGTATATCTACCCTCTTTTTTCTTGGCTCAATTTAATTTCTTTGTTTTATTAATACACACTAGTTTAAGACGTTGCTTTAAAAAGCAAATGATCTCTCACCCACACTAAGGAGCAGGGCTGGGTTATAAGTTATATTAATTTTATATTTCAAAGAAATATGTGATGACAGTCATGACAATATAATAAAAATATACTAATCAAGGTATTATGAGTGTGGCTTGCAATAGGCATTTATTTATTAGAGAAAACAAAATAAAAGGCATTTCCAGCCTCTTTTTGAATGAGTCTATAATGACAGACTGCCTCATTCAAAGTTTGAATTTACTGCCACAAGATGCCAGCAACAGCATTGGTCCTGTTTTTAGGCTATAATAGTGCTGTGAAAAAGTATTTGCCAAATTCCTGATGACTTTGTTTGGATACATTTTTTAACATTTACATGTTTAAGATCAAACAAATTCATTTTTTCTCTCAGTTGTGGGGCAGTTTGGGTGGGTTGCGAGGCAGCAGGTCCTACACAGGCCAGTTCGTCTTGCACTCGCTTTTTTTGCCTGTTGCTGACGGAGTGGACGGCTGGTGTTACGGCTCAGTGTGCAGGTGGGCCCCACACATGAGGACTACAGTTCATCCTGTGTTTGACTCTATGTTTTTGTGTCAGGTGACATTTGTTCTGTAACTGTGGTGATTGGTGTGAGTAAGTTAACTTGGGGTTTGCCCTGCGCACTCACATGACAGGGGTGGTGTTGGCAGTATCTAACTAAACTATAATGGGCATTTCACATGTCATGTGAAAATCCCACAGTAAACAGAAAATTCATCACAGCTCCAACAGAAACATTATCAAATAAATGTAAAAATCGACAGAACATATAAATATAGTGGTAAAATGCAACATGTGATTAATGCTGCAGAAACTGGTTAACCTGGTCATTTAGTGCACTGCCTGCACTCAGAGCTGCTGTTTAGGTCTAAAGCTGCATATTAAAGCTCTGAAACTTTAAAATTGATCCATTTAAAAATTAAAGCTTATGCCACTTTTCCACTCGTACCTACTCTGCTCGGTTTTGGTCATTTTACAATATAACTGAGAACCACCTCAATGTTCGTGGGTTCGTTACAGCGACACCCAAAAATGAGCTCATTTAAACACTACACAACAATGGCGGACACTGAGGCAACGGTACACCTGCTGCTGAGCCGTCTGCTTGCCATGCTGACAGGCTAATCAGCAGCATACAGTTTGTTGATGTGATGTTTGTTTCAGATCAACTCAGACCCCCGGTGGAGTAAATACAGTACTCTTCTCCTTGCATCATGTTAATATTTACACTCACCAGTATAGTATAAATGAGCTGTTCATGATCCTTGGTCAGGTGGGTCACACTAGACCGAAATTCTTGCAGCCAGTTGATGATCTGAGCATCCTGTCGGAGGAGAGGGCGTTCATTGAGAAGCAAAGTCCACCACACCACAGGGTGCCCTCACACTGACGCTTACCTTTATCTCAGGATCAACCAGCTGATGTTTCAGGAGTTCATAATCACTCGAGTCTCCCTTAAAAACAAGCAGAAACAGCAGTTCGCCAAAACCGTAAGAAACGTAGAGGTGTTTGTAAACAACTTTACGAAGGTCAGCAGAATCCACAGACAAGCCAGCAGGAAGGTCTAGATTCATTTAATAACTTAGTGGACCATCTCGTGGATGTGTCACCAAAATCAACAACCCTAATATCTCTCTTTATCGTTTTCCAAGAATGACAACCCTAAGATACAACTCACGTGTTTGTGTTTCTCTAACGTCTCCGCAACACTACCTCCAAACCTGACCGTCTTCACAGAAGGGGTCTTCAGAAAGTCTCGACCGTCTATTTCCATAACCCACCAGGCAGCTAACGCTGGTCTTTGCTTGTTAAGCTGAAAGACAGAGCTGGAAAGGAGACTCGCTCGTTACATCTCTCGCACCGTACAGCTCTCGATACTGTGGCGTTAACTAGTTTGATCAAAGGAATCACGCTTCCGGAAAACAAAACCACGCGAAAGTAACAGGAAGAGAACTGCGTGTTTACGGAAGTGATTGTTCGGAGCAGCAGCGTCACATTAAAGGGGGACGTTCGAGGAATCCATTTCGCTCAGGAAGGTTCCTACCTGAGTGAAGTAACTTTATTGAGCTTATGTACAAACAAACAAAGGCTGTGAGTCCAGGCTCACACCGTAACAATAACACAGGCTGAACAAATACAACGAACGAACAAATAAAGAGAATAAATGTAGCTGGTATAAACCAACAAAAAAGGAAAGAAACGCAGAGTAAACAGATTAAATCAAGGTTAGAGCTAAGATAACACATTTTTAACTCACTATCACAGAGCATGCAGCCATTTACATACATTTCTATCAAGTCAGCCAAATTATTATCATTGGATAAAATTCATGTATCCAACAAATTATATGCACCACTGTCAAAGAAGCACATATCAGTATGAATATTAAAGACCTCATACTACTCTATATCACCCCAATGGAGCACTCGCTCTCACACTGCAGGCTTACTTGTGATTCCTGGGATATTTAAAAATATAATGGGAGGCAGAGCCTTCAGCTTCCAGGTCCCTCTTTTTAGAAACAGCTCCCAGTTTGAATTCGGGATACAACAGTATTTTTTCTAACAATTTAAATAATATCTTACTGTTCAAATAAGAAAAGAAAAATAGAACTAGAACAAAAAATAAAATCATTAAAAGCTGCCTAATGATTGCCTTGCCTCGCCACAAGAGCACATTATTAACAACCCGAGAAAGCTAAAACTAGAATGAAGTAATTAACAAGAAAACGTGATTTCTGATGCAAAGGCTGTGTTTGGAGTGCTTTAAACAAGGCAATAAATCTGGAAAATTCTTTGCTAAGTTAAAACTAAATAAAGAGAAAAACAACTATTAATTATATAAAGGATTTGACTGGAAACTTTACTTATGATCCTCAACAAATAAATAAATCTTGAGACTTTTATATAGCTTCACACTCATCACAGTGTTATCTCCAATGACATCTGATGCTGTCAGATTTGGGACTCGTCTGCAAGACCACCCTTTGTGGTGGGGGCAAGCAAAGACCAGCGTAGCCAGGCTGACAAACAGTCAGAGCTCTGTTGAGCCAACCATCCCTTTAACGTTAACTAGTAATGACTTCATGAACTTCTTCACAAATAAAATTTTACTCATTAGAGAAAAAATTACCAATAATCATCCCACAGATGTAATATTATCTACAGCTACTCTTAGTACCATTGATGTTAAGTTAGACTCTTTTTCTCTAATTGATCTTTCTGAGTTAACTTCAATAATTACTTCCTCCAAACCTTCAACCTGTCTTTTAGACCCCATTCCTACAAAACTGCTCAAAGAAGTCCTGCCATTAATTAATGCTTCGATCTTAAATATGATCAACCTATCTCTAATGATCGGCTATGTACCACAGGCCTTCAAGCTGGCTGTAGTTAAACCTTTACTCAAAAAGCATCTCTAGACCCAGCAGTCTTAGCTAATTATAGGCCAATCTCCAACCTTCCTTTATATCAAACATCCTTGAAAGAGTAGTTGTCAAACAGCTAACAGATCATCTGCAGAGGAATGGCTTATTTGAAGAGTTTCAGTCAGGTTTCAGAGCTCATCACAGCACAGAAACAGCTTTAGTGAAGGTTACAAATGATCTTCTTATGGCCTCTGACAGTGGACTCATCTCTGTGCTTGTCCTGCTAGACCTCAGTGCAGCGTTCGATACTGTCGACCATAATATCCTATTAGAGCGATTACAACATGCTGTAGGTATTACAGGTACTGCACTGCAGTGGTTTGTATCATATCTATCTAATAGACTCCAGTTTGTTCATGTAAATGGAGAGTCCTCTTCACACACTGAGGTTAATTATGGAGTTCCACAGGGTTCAGTGCTAGGACCAATTCTGTTTACATTATACATGCTTCCCTTAGGCAGCATCATTAGAAGACATATTAGTATTTAGTATTTAGTATTTATTTATTTATTGTCATTGTCAAGAACAATGAAATTGCGTTTGGGGCTTCCATACAACCCAAAAAAAGAAGAAAATAATAAATACCCCTTAAAACCCAAGTGTACATATTTAACCCAGTGTGACTCCATAGCATACATTTACACTGCTATGCAGATGACACCCAGCTCTATCTGTCCATGAAGCCAGATAACACACACCAATGAGTTAAACTGCAGGAATGTCTTAAAGACATAAAGACCTGGATGGCTGCTAACTTTCTGCTTCTTAATTCAGATCAAACTGAGGTTTTTGTACTCGGCCCTGAAAATCTTAGAAATATGGTATCTAACCAGATTCTTACTCTGGATGGCATTACCTTGGCCTCCAGTAACACTGTGAGGAACCTTGGAGTCATTTTTGACCAGGACATGTCCTTCAATGCACATATTAAACAAATATGTAAGACTGCTTTCTTCCATTTGAACAACATCTCTAAAATTAGAAATATCCTGTCTCAGAGTGACGCTGAAAAACTAGTTCATGCATTTATTACTTCCAGACTGGACGACTGTAATTCATTATTATCAGGAAGTCCTAAAAACTCCCTGAAAAGCCTTCAGCTGATCCAAAATGCTGCAGCAAGAGTCCTGACAGGGACTAGAAAGAGAGCAGATTTCTCCTGTTTTGGCTTCCTGTTAAATCCAGAATTCAAAATCCTGCTCCTCACATACAAGGTCTTAAATAATCAGGCCCCATCTTATCTTAATGACCTTGTAGTACCATATCACCCTATTAGAGCACTTCGCTCTCGCTCTGCAGGCCTACTTGTTGTTCCTAGAGTATTTAAAAGTAGAATGGGAGGCAGAGCCTTCAGTTTTCAGGCCCCTCTTCTGTGGAACCAGCTTCCAGTTTGGATTCAGGAGACAGACACTATCTCTACTTTCAAGATTAGGCTTCAAACTTTCCTTTTTGCTAAAGCATATAGTTAAGGCTGGACCAGGTGACCCTGAATCCTCCCTTAGTTATGCTGCAATAGACGTAGGCTGCCGGGGGATTCCCATGATGCATTGAGTTTTTCCTTTCCAGTCACCTTTCTCACTCACTATGTGTTAACAGACCTCTCTGCACTGAATCATATCTGTTATTAACCTCTGTCTCTCTTCCACAGCATGTCTTTATCCTGTCTTCCTTCTCTCACCCCAACCGGTCGCAGCAGATGGCCCCGCCCCTCCCTGAGCCTGGTTCTGCCGGAGGTTTCTTCCTGTTAAAAGGGAGTTTTTCCTTCCTGTCGCCAAAGTGCTTGCTCATAGGGGGTCATATGATTGTTGAGTTTTTCTCCTTGAGGCGACTTTTGTTGTGATTAGGCGCTATATAAATAAAATTGAATTGACTTGTGTGGTGGAGATAACAGATCACTTGGTTGGATTACTGGTTGGTAATTTTTGCGTCATAGTATCTGTGTTTGGGTAATCCTTTTGGTTTTTGGCTGTTGTGGTCAACTTAGTGCTATTTACATGTTACATTTGTGTCTTCAGTGCAGGAGCTTGTGATTGTCATGTAGAATCATACATGTCATTACAGGGTTTTTTTTTAAGAATTTCCAAATTGAGAGTATTTAGTTTTGCTGTGTGGTAACTGATTAACTGCTCAAGTATGTCCTTGCTTGTTAATAATTGGGCACTGCAAAGATGAGAATTCTTAAAGCTTTAATGATTTTTTCTGTCCAGTCAGTCCACTTAATGGCTTGTGACCATAAATGCCTGCAGTTTGCTTCAAAGGGCATCACTGATGATAGTCTATAAAACTGAAAACTACTTCTTCCCATTTTTTTTATAAAACAGCCTAGGAACTAGATTAATCTTAGTGTGTGGAGAGGTGTGTCCATTTACATACACAAATTGGAATCTGTTAGATATGACAGGACTTACAGGTACTGTGCTGTAGTGGTTTAATACCTACAGCATACTCTTATCTCTTTAATAAAACATTATAGTCAACAATATCGAATGCTCCGCCTCTGGACTCTGTCATCCTACTGGAAGAAGTCAATGCTGATGAGCAATGAAAGTGAGACCTGCACAGGTGCGATTGGTTGGAATGGCCTGCTGGATCGGAACCTGAGTGTGGTTTTTTTTGTTAAGAGACTTCACTGCAAACCACAGTTTGTCTATAATAAACACTGTGTTTGAACATAAGAGAGCCCATGAGTGCACGTGGCACTAGGACATTGTAGGCCGCAGGTCAGTGATACATTTTGTAATCATATCATTGGATCTGCGGCAGTATGCTCTGGACATTCGGTCGAAGAGAGGTGCTGAGCTGTCAACTGACCTGGTGGTGAGTTGGATCAGGTAAACATCTAGTGAGAGTGTGCTGGGAAGACCGGGCAGAGGTCCCGGTCTGAGAGATCTTCAACTCCCACCTCCGGCTGAGCTTTGACAGCATTCCGAGAGAGACTGGGGAACAATGAGTCCAAATGGACCATGTTCAGAACCTCCATTCCTGAAGCTATGCCCACAAGGTTGTTGGTGCATGTTGTGGTGGTAACCCCGAAACAAGATGGTGGACACCAGAGGTGAAGGGAAACGTCAGACTGAAGAAGGATTCTTATCGGGCTTGGTTAGCCTGTGGGACTTCTGAGGCAGCTGATAGGTACCGACAGGGCAAGCGGAAGGCGGCTCAGGCAGTGGCTGAAGCAAAAACCTGGGTGTGGGAGGAGTTTGGCGATGCCATGAAAAAAGACTTTCAGACTGCCTCAAAGAGATTCGTGTAAACCGTCAGTTGACTCAGGAGAGGAAAGCGGTCTTCTACCTGCACCGTGCGTAGTGCCAGCGGAGCACTGCTGACTAAGGGTATTGTTGGGCGGTGGAAGGGATACTTGATACACCTCCCTAATCTCACCGGCACATCTTCTGTAAAGGAAGGAGGATGAGGGGGACGACTCTTCTATCACCGGGGTGAGGTCACTGATGCAGTTAAACAACTATTAGGTGTGTTTGGTGTATTTGCAGTTAGTGAGCTGCTCTCTCTTTTTGACTTACGTTT